TTTTGAATGAGTCCGATAAGCTGTAAAGCAGTGATTACACGCAGCCCAACCGTCGAATATTTCCTGAGCACCTTCGGCATTAATTTGACCGATTAACGAGATATCATGATTCCAAAGCCTGTGATTATTTTTTTCATTTTGGATCAAAATAAAATCTTTCGATTGTAGCTTTCGCTGAATTTGGCTAGCTTGAAGATTGTCTGGATTAATCATTGACATTAACAATATAACCTTGTAACGTAAAATATAAGATAAAGTCACAAAAATTGTGCTTCTTGATAACCAAAAGAAAAGAAAAAATGAATGTGTATTTTTCTTTCCTTTTCCTTCCATCTGATTAATCTTTGTCTCATTGATATTACGATCTAATTACGATCAAAAGCGGCTACTACTAAATACAATCAAAGCTTTGTATGTATATGACTTTGTACGAATATTTTCGTCATATGTTCTCTTTTCATCTGGAATCTCTAACAATCGCTGACATAGTATTTCAACGCAAAAAAAGTGAATAAAAGTTGCTTTCATCGGAGAAAACTTTGAAATACAAGTATCAATTTCAATATCATAAACTGGCAATAATCCGGTTTCGTTCGGGCCGGTTTAACTTTTCGTCCGGTCTTGTCCGGTCCGGCCGGACCGGTTCCAACTCTGGTTCCATATTTGAATATAAGTTCATAAACAACAATTCAACGAATTTATACTTTTGTATTTTATTTTCTAATGATCAAATACTTGATGGAAGATATTTATCATCTTTTATTTTATCACCCTCGAGATTATTTACTGGTCCTCATTATATACAAACTCCATTGACTTATATGTCGAATCAAATACCAATTAATGCTGTTAAATAACTTGATATATAACAAATAACATTTACTGGCAAAATTAGTCAAACATTAGCAAAAACAGCATTAATTGATTATTGGTAAAATCCAATTAGACATGGTTGAACTAATGCTAATGTTTATATTATACAATTACAACAATATCTAGTCTATTCTATAAAGTAGCTGAACAACTTTCTTATTATTTATTCAGAGTTCTTCTTCCGTTTAGTCAATACTATACAACAATAACTTGTATCTTTTTAACATTTGAAACAGTGTTATTCTTCTTCAAATCGTCGTATTGAAGAATCAAGTTTAGATGAACTTGATGGAATTTGTTCATTGTTCTCTATTCAAATAAATATATAAGAAAGAAAAACTAAATTAGCTCTTCTAAAAAGTGAAGAAAAAAAATCAAATCTTCATTACAATTAAGTTTTGTTCTTGATTAATTGAATATTCATGAGATATGAGAAGAATTAGTTTTTCAAATTATTTTTCAAATGATCAAATATGAGAAGATTAATTACATTCAACTTCATTATTGAATGTTTCAAAGAAGACTCAAAAAAAAAGAAGAGAGATGATAGCAAACACTGCTTGATGAACTTTTTCACTTGATTGATTTGACAAAATCAATGATACTGATTGAAGATCCAAAAGCTATTGAAGATCGTCATCAAAATCACATACTATTCGATCCAGAACAAGAAAAGAATCAATGAAATTCTTGGAGAAGTATTTTTTCTTATCAGATAAAGTTAAAAAATCAACTCTTTATAATCAGCATTGATTTTATTTTCATCAATTAGATTTTCTTAATTGTTTAATAATAGAAATGTTTATTAAATAAATAGAATAAAAGAACGTAGATAACAAGATGAAGAAAGAAAATCTTTAATTAGAATAAAATACATAATTAAAATAATATACAAGCACATGATCGTCTATTTTTTTCATTGAATGTTAATTTAAGTTTAATAATATTCTTTAATTCATTGTTTGTAATTTCTTGCATTTTCTTCAATTCATTGTTTGTGGTTTCTTGCATTTTATCAAGCTTGTTATTGATGTTTTTTTTCAAGATCATTTATTTTTTTATTAATATCTTCTTCATTTTTCTTAATACCATTTAATGATAGATGAATTTGATTAATCGATTGCATTTGAGAATTTGTTTTATCTAGAACATTATTTAAAACAACTTGAATGGATTTTTGTATAATTTCAATAGTTGATATTCGATCAGATAATAAAGCCATACTGGTGAATATGGCTTGACGCCACCCTTCTTGCGTATCATCTACATGATAAAACAAAAATCTACCTGTGTTAAACAAAGCAGTCAGAAAATAAAAATGATAACGATCTTCATTTTCTTGAGAAACATTCGAATTCTTCGGAATTTGAATAATATCAGATTCAAGATTAATTGGCATTGAAAAGCCAGCAAATCCAATACATGAAAGTGTTATCGATGTTAATATTGAGATATCTCTATCAGTAATCTTGTCAAGATTATTTGATTTAATACATTTAATCAATTGATGAAAATTAGACGGTAACATTTTCATGAACAATAATTTATTACTGCGTATCAATCGAAATAAACGACGCGATATAGATGAGTAAAAGTCGTTCTAACTGTAATAATTTTCGTATGAAGATTTTCGATATTAAGCGTACTTTCAAAAGGACAATAACGTTTATTAATAATTGTTGATGGATCATTATTACATAATTGATTATCATCATCAATTGTTGATGGTGATTTCTCTGGGAAGATTATACTTGTTAAACCAATATCATTTGATAATATGTCATCAATAATTTTTCCTTCTTCAGTATATATAGGATGTTCATGTTTGCCAATAATAAATAAATCGTTTTTCAAATTCGTTGGTATATTTAAACGGATACTTTCATTAAAAGGAAGTTTGAAAAACAAATCAGCTTCAAGTTGATCAAAATCTGTCAATGGATGATTGTCAATCATTAATAATTTTTTTGTATATTGAAAAATTGATCGTGCTTCAGCATCATTGGATAAAAAATGACGAGATTGATGATGGTGCTTCTTTGGTAAAATAATGTTTACAAATGCTAACTGTTAAATGTGAAAATATAATTTCTTCTTTAAGTTGTTCATATAAAAACGGACTTGAAGATCGTGGCATTTGTTTTTCTCAATCTAGAATTCATAGAAAATAAAATTAATTGAAATGTAGAAAAGAATAGTACTTCTTCAGATCAACGACACTTCATCCTATTGGTCGCATGAGTGAGAGGAAAGGAAATTTCCTTTCCTCTTACTCATACGACCAATAGAA